ATTTCCCTGCAATGGCCATAAGAAGAGGCTTTAATCCCACACCCAGCATAAGAACTTGGCGTATGTTCCAGGCTGCTGCCAAGGCACTGACTCCTTTTCCTGCATATTTAGTTCCTGGGCAAAGCTACATTTCTAATCTGTACATAATGTTCAGCTCCATCTCTTGCAGTTTATGGACTTGAACACAAAGGCAATTCTCACTGCCACTGGAAGGAGTGAATCCCTTCCCCTCATTCCCTGGAAAAGGAAAAACAGTGTCTACCAAGGCAGATACTCCAGCCTAACCTTCTTTTCATATAACACAAGGAAAAAGCATCTCTAACTCCCTTGCAGTAATGAGATCAAGTCTTTGGAGACATGAGGTTTATTTCTAGCTCTGATACAGATAGCTGGTGTGAACCTGCAGATGCTTGAAGACCCACCTCTGGCTGAAGCAACTCTTTGAAATCTTATCACAGAGACAAAGCTGTGAGGAAAGCAAAATGCTTAAGAAAAAGTCAGAACCACATCCTGAAATTCTCTGCAACTCAGCTGGGGAAAAAAAAATCCATATCTTGGCTCTTTGTTGTCTAATGCCAAATTTCTTTCTGAAACAAATGTTCCCAATCCTTAGTGCCAGCCTAACTGGAGAGTGGTTTATCTCTGAGTTAGGGAGAACCTGCCTCCCACCACGACCAAGACTGAGCCCAGGTGATGGGAGGCCCTGAGCTCCACTCCCAGTCTGCCCAAGGCCCTTAGGTGGTTAATGAAGACACACAATGTTGTAAGGCAGCTCAGATGTTGATAGAGCTGAGTCACCCCCTCGCTGTAAGCTGAACACCCCAGACATGACTATAAAGACAGTAATAATCACCATTTTGGGGGACAAAGCCAGCTTTTCATCCATCACTCACTACCCAGACTGTGACCTCACTGGGGGTTTAGTCCCTGCTGTGTTTTTTTAAAGACCTGAACAGCACAAATGAAAGCTGCCTCAATGCCTGGAACCTCAACCAGAGCCAGTGGCAGCTAAATTTTCCATGGAAAGCTTTAGCTGGAGATGGGGAGCAGGGTGGAGCTAAGAATATCAGTTACACAGTGACAAACTTCTGCCTGGAATTTCCTCCTCAAACCCTGAGCCAGCTACAGCCACTCCTGCCAACCTTCAGCATCCTCAGCCGGCTCAGGGGGCTCTGCTCATATTGAAATACTTACTTTGTGGAGCATATCCAGACCCTGGGAATCTCTTTGAGGACAAGATGAGCCTAGAGAGAGATTTGGCTTCTTAATGCCTATCCATTTCACTGGGTATCCAAACACCAACTCAAAGGGTATAGGATAAATATCCTTGCATTACATCTAGGAAGATAAACGGGCAATAGATGAACAGGCAATCCATATTTCATGGATTTGGGAAAAGCAAGATGAAGAGAAGAACACCACTCTTACCACTCCAACATATGGTAGAAATGGCAATCAATGCCTGTACCTTCATGATTAATGTTCCAGCAACAGGGTGGTTTGCTTTCACCATCAAGGAAATCACTATCTTTTCATTTCCGGGCACTGCTAATATCCCAAGAGCACAAAAGCTTTGGGTATTGTCTGATATTCTCACCCAAACCAAGGTGGGAGTCCTTGGTCCTCCAAACCAAGCCATTTTAGAGTGTCCTACACCAGTCAGCACGTGCTTTTAGGTGCTGAAAACAGTCCACACTGCAGGAAATCCCTGCCACTAGCTATAGACCCAGAAGAAATATCCTCCTTGGCCTACTTTCAAATACACATCCCATGAAAAACGAGCAGAGTCCTTCTGGAAGCTCTCAGAGCTGAGAAAGCTTCTCAAGGCACCCACTTAGAAATTGAGACTGCTTCTTGTCCAGCTGCAAGATATTGCTAGAGTAGATGGACTGGTAAATCCATCCTCCTCCTGCTGTCACCTGTGTTGGTGATGGCAGTGGCAGCAGAAATAGGGGAAAACAGGGGTCTGTGGATGCAGGCACACACATTTATTGCTCCAAGTCAGTTCTTTGTCTTTTCAGAGAAGCGCTGGATTCTCTCATTCTCCCTTTTGCACAGCAGCCTGCAGGACAGATGGAAAAGATTCTGGAGTAAAGGTAGGATCTGGTGTGAATAAGGGTGGAAGTATTTTGGCTGGGAATTCGTGGGTATACAAAGGCGTGGGAGTTGTGATTCATGAAATGCTTCCCTCTCCTTGCAAGGAGCCAGTTGTTGGTGCTGGGAAGCACGGACTCAGTGGCCAGGCATTTGGCAGGAATGTTTCTGGAGCAGGCTCCAAGGCTGGAGCAGAGTGTCAGCCAGAACATCTCCTCAGAGCAGCTCTGATGGAGCATCACCAGGAACAAAACAGTATTTCCTGAAACTGCTGCAGGGGAAGACAGAAAATTCATCCAGCCCTTGATCCAAGAGGGCATAAAATGCACTAGGATTGTGTTTTCTCTCTAGTTCCAAATAAAATCCCCCATATGGATATGTTGAACGGTCTCAAGGAGCAAATTCAGCACTAGCTGTGCCTGAGAGATCACAACCAAAAAAACTGGAGTGCAAACTGAGCTGCAGCAGCACAGGATTTCTCTCTCCCTCACGTCAGAGAATCTTGTATCTGTACATGCACCCTGGGAATGATCTTTCCCAACCACACTGGTGCTTGTCCTGACCTCGGTTCCTCTGCTAGGGAATGCAAGGAAGATGCTCCATGTGCTCCACACAGAGCCTAGATTTTAATCCATCTGCCTCAAATCCAGCCCAGGTACTTCTGTCTCGCACAAACAACCTGAGGATGAGCACACCAAAATTTTAATCAGACTCTCAGCAATACTAAACACCACTGAAATGTTTACATTCAGCACTGGGAACAAGCCAATAACACTCTGCACAATCAATGCTGTCAACTCTTGGATTACCCAATATGTTGTTCAAAATGCTGGTCTGGGAGTAATTTTGTGAGAAAAAGCACTTCAGCAACTACAGTTCAGGAAGGCCTGGGGAATGGGAACTAACAAGCCTTAAAAGCTTTAGAAACAGAAGATGTGGAAAAAAGCAATTTTGATTTCATTTTTCAGTCTTTGAGGTTATGACTTACTGTTTCTAAACCACTAGGGATCAGCAATACTTACTTAAGAACTTGTTAGGAAAGTATCAAAGGCACTGTCAAAAGTAGAGGGAGTCAGCTTGAATTGTTCCTAAGGGGAAACTTCAAGACTAGAAAAAAAAAATCAGTTTCTTTATTAACTAAGGGAGTTAACCCATTAAGCTCCAATAACTTTGCAGAGCAGAACATGAAGCAGTGAAACCAAACAGTTTGGATCATGAGTATGAATAATGAGATGTAATCAGATCTCAAAGTCAATGAAAACATAGGCAAATCCTGCACGAAAAGGTCTCGCATGCCTTTGGAAAGAAATATGTATCTGCTGCTTTAAAAAGAAACAAGATCCCTGCAAAACCAGAGTTCACATCCATGCACAAACACCAGTTCTCCATTCTCCTGAGCCACTGGCAAAGGGATGAACCTTCCATGCTCAAATTAATATTTCCACTCTCCCAGTCCAGCAGGCAAGCAGGAAAGCCATGGACTCATGGTAAAAACCAGAACCAACCACTGTGGAAATTACAGCTCCTGCCACCATGGAATTATCTGGGAACCAGCTGATCTTTGGCATTCCATACTCCACTCTCTCCTGAGCTGTGCAGGGCTGCTGTGGAGGCAATCTTCCTTCCCAGTACTCTGGGAAAGCAAGTGCAACAGCAACCCCAGCTGTCCTGAGCACAGGGCACTGCTCTCAGCCAAATTATTATTAATGTGAGTGTGCTGAGCAACCACAGGGCTTTGTGGGGATGGATTCATGGGAGGCTAGATGCCGAAGGAAACATCCATCTCTGTGGGGTGGAAAGAGCAACAAAAACGTCCTAAGAGCAGGGAAGATCAGACAGGAGTAAAAGTACTCGTTCACTGCTTCTTTTTTTTGCCTCCATTTGTAGTTGAGCTGCTAAAGAAGAAGGATCTCAGAAAAAGAACCTTTTCTTTCCTCCCAACCACTAACAAAAGGGTTTGCTGAATAATGAAGTATTTATGTATAAAATGGAGTTAAAATACCATTATGACCATGCAGCAGATGGAACTTGAGGCCAGCTGAGAGATGAGAGAGGGGGTGGAGGTGGAGCCCTCTCTTCTCTTCCCCTAGTGATGAGCAAGTCTGTGTGACATGGGAGATCTCCATACAGGAAACTCCTCCTCAACCTGACATAAAACTAAACCTTAGGTTGGATCTTGTGTGCCCTAGAAGGGCTGCTCACACATCTGAGATGCTGTTCTGGCCTCTTTCTACACCTTCTGGTTGCAGACAATATAAATAGCTAAAAATAGCCATCAAAACAAGATTTGGAAGCTCCCTGGATTATATTTTTAAAACAGGATAAAGAAAACAGTGTTTTACTGAATCATGGGCTTTGTTTTTAGCTGAATATGCTCCCAGAATGGCTAAGTGATCCATTTTAGCTGTTATAGGAAGAATTTAGTTAAGTTCAGTCAACACATCAAACTTCACCAGTCACCACTACCTGCTGCTCATAACTGTGAGCAAACCTGCTGGTCAAAAGCCAGTTCACAGTTTATTGGTCCAGAACAGGAACAGAAATAGAAGCATTAAATAAATGCCTTTGCCCTGCCCTGTTCCCTCTGCTGTTGTTGCAGCACAGAAAGGCTCCAAGAAGCTCATTAGAGAATTCATCATAGTATCTATGAAATGGCTAGGACACAGCAGCACTCCCTGGCAATCAGCCAAGGGGGGATAGAAGGTTTTATTTCCTCTCTCCTCTGAAGTCACTGGGGAGATGACTGACAGTAGATTGGTCTGCAAGGTTCCCAGTCTCTCTTCAAATGGAGGGGTGGAGCTCCAGAAGCAAAGCAGCCAGAGCCAAACACCACACATTAATGGATTTTTCCACATGCTGAGACCCAAGAGCTTGAAGGAGCTCCTAGAAATAGAAAGCTTCCTTACCTGCCTTGGAAAACTTTGCTTGGTACTCTCCAGCACAGTCCTGCCCATGTTTGTAAGGACACCTGAGGTCGTGAGTAAAAAACATCACTGCCCATTTCTGTTCAATTCTGTGAGGAAGGAAACAGTGTTTAAAGCAGATTTGTAACCAGAGTGTCCCATGATCCCTGTGACAATCTAGGGGAGAGTTCCTTCCTTCCCAAGGAGTTAAGGTGAGCAGAACACATCCAGGCTATGAAGAGTCTCACCAAAGGATTACCACACTCAGGGGCTGCAGAATCTCTCTCTCTCCAAATTCGTGCCTCATGTTGTACGTTTTAAATGGTAGCAGATGTTGGCAGTGAGCTCCAGACCTTTGTTTCCCAGATTCCCAGATAACTGCTGCTTTCTGTGCAAGCCTTTCTCTAGCAATAACAATAATTAAGTGCCATTTATATAAGGCCTTTCATTCAGCAGTCCCAAAGCGCTCAATAAATTTAACAAACCATTAATACTCAACAGATGTATTGTTTGCAATTTTTAAAAGGCTGCATTCTTCTCCAGGATCCTCCACATTCCCACAAATGGCAGGTACCCTAATTACCATAATTACCATAATCACCATAATCATCTAAAAGTTTGCAGAGAAGCAGAACTAGGGGATGCCAAAGGCCACAGTACATTCTGCTAATAACAAAAGGATTTAAGCAGAGCTCCTGGCCTTTGACTCTGTTCCCACTGTGAGCAGGAAACCACCCTGCCTCCAGAAATTCACATGCACTGATAACTTCATCTAGCCAGAACACTGAACTGAAAGGCAAGGATGCATTCCCAGAGCACATGAAAAACACACTGCTTAAAGAAAGCCAAGTCCAATCCAAGCAATAAGAATTTTTTCACTAGGACACTTAAGCTGACGAAAATTGAATTTAGTGGCCCGAAGAGGACATTGAGAGAGATGCAGTAGTCACCAAGTAACTGTAATCTTGCTTATACATCCCTCTGGATTTCCCTCAAAGAAATAAATCCTAGAAGGTATTGCTTGAGAGGACAAGCCTTGCCACAACAACAGTGCAATCTCTTTACACCACCTAGATCAGCCACTCAATTAGACACACAATTGTGATCTGAAGGAACCTGCAGGAAAGATGGAGAGAGACTATTTCCAAGGGCCTGGGGTGACAGAACAAAAAAGAATGGATTCAACCTGGAAGAAGGCAGGTTGCACTCTCCCAACAACTGACCTTCCTCCCCCCATCCCCCAGCAAAACCACAGGAGCTGAGCATCCAAGCCTGGGGTGTACAAAAAATGAGGAACGGGTTTTGGCTAAGGCACAACTCACACAATTATCGACTGTGAGGGTGTGGACAAGCAGCAGTGATTCCTTGAGCTGTGTCTGAGCTTCAGTGCAAAGCAAAATACTTATTTTTCTTTCTTAAACATAGAATATTTTGAGTTGGAAGGGACCCACAAGGATCATTGATCCAACTCCAGACTTGACAAAGTCTATTTAACTTCTACGTTTATTATGCTGCTGCTACCAAAGACAGTTCAAGATCTGTCACTCAATTTGAATTATATTGCATTTGTTCCTATTTTAGGCAATATAAAGGCATTTGCAGATAATTTGAGACCATGGCTCAAACAGTCACGGTGACATAAACTGCAACTTAGCTGTGTATCTCAGTTCATAGTTGCAATAATTAGAGGCTCAAGGGTTTTTTGGCCTAAACGTTGTCTACTTAAAAAGAAGACTGCACAAGGTCTAACACCACACCACAATCACTTTGTAACACATCATGCAATAAAATTCAGTGTTTAATTTTGCACCTCATGCTGGATACTGTGAGAATATTCCCACCCTCTCCAAAGCTTCCTTGCCTCTGATTATCTGACCTACTTCTCCTGCTGCTCTCTCACACTGTGCTTGAAACAGGAATTAGAAATGGTAACAACGGCTATGAGAAGGGCTTCTTTCTCTATTTTCTACCAAGCATACCTTGGATAACTGATCAGCAGCTAGCTGACAGCACAACCTAAGGGAGACATGGCCAAACTGTTCTCAGCTGAATTAAAATATCAGCAAATAAATAATCTGGATTGTATTTAGAAAGTCACAAGATCAGTGCTTGGCCCTGGCTAGGGGTGAGGAGAAGGGCCATCCAAGGTGACACCCAATTCTTTTCAGCTGAAATAAATTTAATTTCTTCCAAGGGAGGGCAGGTTTCAAAAGCTCTGATAGGGAAAGTGTTCACTGGACAGGGACTGTGTGAATGCAGAAGAGGGACGAGACTGGGGCCCGTTTTTTTCATCACGCAGAAATGTAACAGCTTTTTATTCCGTTTTATGAGTCAGTGTTCCCAACGGAAAGAGCACACATATCGTGGCTTTGGCACTGCACACCTCTGCATTTCCTACCAGCCCCATCCTGCAATGAATCCAATGCATTTGGTTAACCTCTTCAAGGAGGGGTTTGTGCCAGCTGTGCTCTCCAGGAGCAGGAAGGGGGCAAGGCAGGGATGTGTCAGAGGAAGGATGAATGCACCCTCCTTGCAGTCCCTGCAGCACAAACCACCCCTGTAAGGAAAACAAATGAGCCCAGAAAGGCAGTCAGGAAACTGCTGAGAGAAAGGTCCCCTCCTGGCATGAGTCAAGCTCCAAAACAGTTCAAGGAGCTGTTCTGGCTTGCCATGGGGACAAATTGTCCAGCAGAACCTCCGACAGCTTTTCCCCCTGCTGATTCACTCCTCAGTATGCCACTGGGCTGACAGACACAAGGATGCCACAGGTGACCCTGCAAGACACAGGGGTTTCAACAGGACGCTGCCTGTCATGGTCCTTCAGTGTCACAAACACAACAAAGTGTTTGAGAGAACCCTTGAAAGGTTTTGAGAACTGCCAGACTCTGAGGGTTTCTGCTTTGGCCAAAGAAACCCTCTGGGCTTCTTTGCGAGGGCTGCATCACTACCAAGGTGCTCAAGACCTAATTAAAAATTAAAAAAACCCAAACAACAGAATCAAAAGATCCTGCTCTAAACCCAGTCTCAAACCTAAGACAAGCCTTTGGTGAGTTAATGAACTTGCCAAGAGATCTCTGAGTCCACAGTATCTTATCTTCCTTCTAATTCGAAGCTCCTTTCCCAGGATCTTTGGGCTAAATCCATCTCCCCAGTCATCTCAGAGGGTCCAGAGTGCTTAGGCACACAAAAACATCACATATTACATGTGGGGGAAGTGCTCCAAATTATTGGAATTGTTATAATTTCCTTTTTTGACTTTGGCCCCCAATCACATTCATGTTGTGAATACGCTATTAAATATCATAGCTCATCCTCAAAGTCCCAATCTCTTTGCCTTTGTCTGCAATTATTATTACATTTTATGAGTTTTAGTTAATTTGGACTGCCTGAATAAGCAATTTGCCAGGCCAAAACATTAAAATGAAAATTATTTCAGTACAATAACTTGGATTTCCCCAGATTATCCCTCCTGCTGACTGGTTTTGCTGCTGTAGAGCTGACCACTCACAGGTGACAACACACACACACTGTGGAGGCAAGGGCTGGTACCAGCTCCACCAACAAACACAAACAGCTAAACCTGATAGGTTTCACACATGAATGTTGAAGGATGCCAAATTCTGTGACAAATTCTACAGGGACAAGAAGCTGAGAGTTGTTTCGAGTTTTCCAGCTGAGATGCATCTGTGATACAGCAGAAAAGTCCTCCTGGAATTCTGAATAAGACCTCTTTTGGAGTCAAAACTTTGGTTTTTGAGTCTACCCTCCCACTGCACGACTTCTTTGTGTGGGATATAACACAACCAGAAGAAAGTGCTCTTGTGGTGTGCTGTTAAGTTGATCAGACCAGATATGCTGGTATTTCTGGAGTTCAGCCTCCCACTTAATAATTTTGGTGCCGTGGCTGATAAATTTACTCAGTTATTAGAATCTAAGTTCTGTACTACATGCCTAGAGACAGCATGAAGCTTAGAGGTAGAGGCAAAAGCAGCACTGCCTTCTCCCTCATGTAAAATACACTGAAAAACAGAAATAAAATTGAATTTAAGGTTAAACAGGCCCATTTTTGTTTATTTTTCCTTCCCCTTCTGCTGTTTCTTATGCTTTAGGTAGTCTTGTTCTCACTGGCTTCCTAACAAAGCCATTGTCACAGTTGTCCTCTTCCCACTGGCCAGATGTGTCCTCTAGAGGTTGTGCTAGATCTGAGATGGGATCCTTGTCCTCTCTGAAGTCACTGGAAGGTATTCCATGGGCTTCTGTGGGAGCGGCACTGCAACAATATGACAAATCCTGCCTACAAGGAATAGGATTTGGTTTATAGCCATATATAAATCAGGAGATGGCCTCTTAGATTTACCTTGACTGATTTAATTTTTTTTATTTTAAAAGGCTTTTAGCTAAAGTTTCCTGGCTTTTATTTATGATAGCTTAGATCTCTGCAAAAAAGTCTGGAGTAAATCCATGCTTCCAACAGGACACATCTTACAAAAGTCTGGGAACTCTTAACCGCAGGAAAAATGACCAGGCTTCAGGATGATTCATTGTCGCTATTTTGCAAAGATGTTGGAAGAAACTGGGAAGCAAAGACTAATTAATGTACTTCCCACTCCTTTGCAGATTCCCATCTGCTCTGCCTCACTTTCTGAAGGCCTCAGCACACACAGAAGCATTCCTCTGCCTGCAGACACATGGCAAGGACTGGGGCCACTCTCAGGCCTCCTCTTTAGGCTGTTTACAAAACCATGGAGTGACAGGACACAGGGAATGGCTTCCCACTGACAGAGAGCAGGGATGGATGGGATATTGGGAAGAAATTCTTCCCTGTGAGGGTGGGGAAGCCCTGACACAGGGTGCCCAGAGAAGCTGTGGCTGCCCCTGGATCCCTGGGAGTGTCCAAGGCCAGGTTGGACAGGGCTTGGAACAACCTGGGATAGTGGAAGGTGTCCCTGCCCATGGCAGGAAGTGGAATGAGATGAGCTTTGGGGTTCCTTCCAACCCAAAGTATTCCAGGATTCCCGTGAAATTCTTTCTAAATGTTTTTTTC